GTGTCTAAAATATTAGCCTCAATAATACTTCGACGCCTAACTAAAGCTCGTGAAGAGCAGACTAGAAAAAACCAGGCTGGTTTTCGACCTGGACGTGGTTGTATCGATCAGATATTCACACTACGTCAGGTTCTAGAACAGAGACACACATTCAGACGCCCCACAATGGTAGTATTTCTCGACCTTAAGGCGGCATTCGACTCTATTGATCGTGAGGTTCTATGGCAGTGTTTGTCACTGAAAGGAGTACCAAAGAAGTACATTAACCTTATAAAGGCTCTCTACTCGAACACAACTGATAGAGTGAGAGCTTATGGCGAACTGTCATCAGAATTGATCACCTCAAGTGGTGTTCGTCAGGGCTTTCCACTCTCTCCATTCTTGTTCAACTTTGTCGTCGACATACTTTTAGAGATAACACTTTCTTCGTCTAGATTTCCAGTGGTTGAACTTCTACCAGGAGGTCCACTTGTTGACTTAGAATATGCTGATGACATAGTTTTATTTGGTGAAGACGCTGAAAAAATGCAGTCTTCTGACCACTTTAAGCAACAATGCAAGCATGTTCGGGATGCGATTCTCTCCCTCGAAATGCAAAATGTTGCTTCAGGATTGGGTTACATCGACACCCGAACTAGTGATAGGGAATGAAGTAGTTGAGTGTGTCGACCGCTTCACTTATCTTGGAAGTCTCATCAGCCCTTGTGGTTTAGTGTGTGACGAAATCTCAGCACGGATACAGAAGGCTCGACTAGCTTTTACCAACTTGCGTCATTTATGGCGTAGGCGAGATATTCATCTATCAACCAAAGGACGTGTTTACTGCGCAGCAGTTCGTTCCGTCCTAATTTATGGCAGTGAAACATGGCCGGTAAGAGTAGAGGATATCCGTAGGTTACTAGTATTCGATCATAGGTGTCTTCGAAACATAGCTCGTATATCATGGAATCATCGAGTAAGTAACACAGTTGTTAGGAAACGGGTACTAGGTAAGGATTGACTGACTGATTGTGTTCATTAGATGAGCAAAAGTTCAGGGATCATTTCATAAGTTGTAACGGTTGTGTTTGAAAAAATTTCAGGTGGTACGATTGCACGGCCTACTATGTGAGGATCCACGAAAATCAGCAAAAGCCTGTTTACGCTACCTGCTGTCGCCTGAATTGGCGAACACATACACTTTACACAGAACGAAAACTAGATTGGGTATTAGTAACTACAAATTTTACCGGACGGTTAAAAGTAAGTCTACTCTACTGTATTAATATATTTGTGGGTGTTCTGTGTTCCCAATTTCGAAGTGCGACTTGCCCCGAAAAAGAAGTTATAAACGCCATGGATATAGCAAGCCAGGCTTTCTTGCATGACGCAAGAGACAAATTAATAAAGCGTGGATGGCGATCCAAAGAAAGGGTAAGCTAAAACCACTTAACATGTTTGTCATAATACATATTGCACTTTGAATATAACTTTGTGATCTATATTTTCACTGAAACAAATTTTCTTTTGTCCGTCTTGCTTTCAGCTGGCTTCGCCTGTTTTATCAGACGTAACTGTAAGTACTTTGTTCGCATTATTAGGAACATTGTCATACCATGTTCTCCTTATCGACGTTTCCCACATCTTGACATTTCATTATGCACAAAACTTTTTTTGTTTTAGAAAATTGTTAATGACAGTCCAAAGTCAAAGTAACCTGTTCCTCTGACGAAGCAATGAAAACCATTTTATAATTGATTGATTTGTAAATTCATTAACTGTAATAAACATTTCTATGGATCACAAATCAGTCTCTTATTAAGAGCGATAAATGGATTACCGTTAAGTTTCTTTGGCAATGCGTAATTGACTTGAAATTAATGTTGCATATCAGTAAGAAATGTATGTAGGTATTCTCGCAACGTTTTCCGTGATTTCTAGAGGTTTTGATATAAGTTTTGCGTTCAAAAATTTCCGGAGATAAACACTGTGTACAATTTGGGGAACTTTCCCCTAAGTTTAGGGAAATTTTGGGGTTTTTGTGCCATTTCCCAAGAATTTATTATAGCGGCTTCACCAAAATTGGCAGCTCGTGACCTGAAATTTTTTCAAACACAACCGTTACAACTTACGAAATGATCCCTGAACTTTTGCTCATCTACAGCAGCTTCTAATGAACGCAACTCCTGATGCGTTCTCAATGGGAAAACAATAGCTGTCGTATCTGTTTGTTCTGTACGCCTGTCTCTTACACCCATGGATAAGCGTTCATTGGAAACGATAAATTTATCAATCTTCGTACACAGTTCATTGACCGCTCTCATGATCATTCTAAGCATTTTACTTATATCAGTATACTTTGAAAGTAAAGTTCTTCGGCATATCGCTGTGCGGCTTGTTTAGCCGCAGCAAATCTGCAGTGTACTGAACGCCTAATTCTCCTCATGTCTGATTCTAAAGGAAAGGCAGAGAACGACTCTAAACTGCCATGTTCTATAACGTCCTCTGCAATGTGCTTTAAACTATGCACATTGTAGATTAAGTGTTCGGTACCGTAACACTTTTCGTAACCTAATAAGAAGTTATTAATATAAACCCGAACACTGTTTGCGAATGTGGTGTGCAACTTAGGGTGCGATAATAAATACATTAACAAGGAGAGTGAGTGGGAGTTTCTGTACATTGACAGTGGTAACCTATTATGAAGAACTACAGGTCCTAAGTACACTAAGAACAACCGACATTCAGTTGCCTTCCATACGGGAACTTCATGTAGTGAGCGACATTTGTGTTGAAAGTCGCATGCAGTGTGCTGCCTACATAAGTCTAGTGCCTCATTTATTGATGCACTAATAGATTGATCCATCCTATTAAGTCGCTTAATAGCTAGCTCCTTCCATAATGAAATAAGTTTTTTAGTGACATCTAAGTATATCATATACGTCGGTTCAGAAGGGAAACATTTTATCATATCCACTGGCAGATTTTCAAATGACCTTCTACCACGATGATGGATAGATTGGGACCTACTACGAAAAGTGACAGTTCTCGAATCGTGTTCACCATTGGGGAAAGTCATTCGACCACCTATTCGTGTCCCTAAAACCTGACATTTGTCTCAGCCAGCGGTGCCGTTGTGTCCCACAGCATACTTGGCGTTACTGCTAGCTGGAGCGTCACAAATAACAGCAACTAATTTAACTGTTAAATGTACCTGATATTTGTCTGCATTGATGCCTACTGTCAATAACTCTCGTAACTCAGTTATAAGTGCTGCAGACATGTCGGTGAAATCAGATGGTTTTACTTCACCACCGTAGATCCCAACTACGAATACATTACTAACTAATGGACCTATTAGACGACCTAAGATCGGCCACAGCTGTTGGCTACAGGTTTAGACCAAGCTTAGACCATCGCAGTTTAACTGAAGCTTCAATTCCGTGAAACGAATTTGACGTAGCCAATTTTCCGAAATTCTCAACACACTTGATTTCAATCTTAAATGGTAATACGTTCCCGATTTCAGGATTTTAGGGTCAACGTCGTTGTATGTACGTAGAACACTCCGAACGGATGTTGGAAGTTCGGGAATCCGCACACGAAAAAGGTCCAAAATTCCGTCGGCCTATTCTACGGTTATGTCACCACCTTTCATCATCCCCATGATTATTCTACCTGCCGCTTTTTTCATTGAAAGATGAATGGTTGGAGACATTTCTGAAGTCACACCACCTATAAATTTTTAATAATTAGAGATATACTACCGTTGGTTGGGCGAGACTCTAATTTAAGGACGAACCTTGAACGGATGTTAAGTGACCTTGACAATTACTAGCCAATCAGAATACAGTTAGTATAGAGTAAAAATATATTATAAGAAAGTAATTAATTACAGTGGATAGTCTTCTTTTACATGATTTAAAAACTTGTTAAGGTTTGATAAAGGTTCAGAAGTCCTGAAATCATAATGCCTACGGTATAGAAACTCGTCCATATGGCTCCATAACGGTCGTCCTCTAGAGCCGTGGTATGGTCTTAAAAATTCCTTCAATCTGGACCACACAGCTTCAATATTATTAGTACGGACACGTACAATTTCAACACGTGGTGCTAACATACGATCGGTTTACAGCGGATTTTAGAGAAGAGGTGATTATTGAGAGGCTACAACAGATAGGACTATTAAGAAGTTCTTGTAAATGCGACTGCGGTTATCAAATAACTGCAGCAAAGTGTGCAGACCACTGGTGAGATGTTTCTTTGTTCTTCATGTTGGAGGAAAAAGTCTGCTCGAATGGGGACTTTCTTCGCTCGATCGCGACTGACACTAAGGCAGATCATGATACTAGTGGCAAATTGGGTAATAAAGACACTAGTAACACTGGCTGCGGCGTTTGCAGATGTTACTGAAACTACAGCAGTCCAGTGGTATGAGTACTGCCGTGACATATGTGCAAGTAAAATGACACGTCTGCGCCAATCATTCGGAGGAGTAGGATGCATTGTGGAGATAGATGAAACGGTAGTAAGAAAGCGAAAATACAATAGAGGACGTAGTATCAAGGAAGAATGGGTAAGTAGCATTTCCGTAAATATACTTGACAGGTACTTGGAATTTATGACCGATCAACGCAAAAGGGACATTTTCAGAGGGTCAGAAACCGGTGTCCGTACTAATAATATTGAAGCTGTGTGGTCCAGATTGAAGGAATTTTTAAGACCATACCACGGCTCTAGAGGACGACCGTTATGGAGCCATATGGACGAGTTTCTATACCGTAGGCATTATGATTTCAGGACTTCTGAACCTTTATCAGTTTACAGTTTGGGAAGGACGGGAGGCTCGATGGCCTATGTTAGTCCTGGCAATGGTGGTCTCTCAGTTGATCCAACTTTCTTTTGAAAGAGTCGACGGATGGAGCCTCAACCACGTGCTGAGGTAGTGAATTCCACTCGTTGATGATTCCATGGGAAAGTCGATAGTCGGCTGACAAGTAATGTTCTCGGCTTTTGAACTTTTTGGAGTGTCCTCGTAAATTCTGTTTCGGAAGACAAGAAAAATGAGGGCATATCAGGTGCAAATTTATCACTAAGCAATTTGTAGACTGTAATCAAGTCGCCTCTAGTTCTGCGATATGACAACGGGAAAAGGTTCAGCTTGGCCAGTCGAGATTCATATGGAAGCTTCGCTATTCCGGGAATCAGCTTAGTCGCCGTTCTCTGAACCTTTTCCAGAAGCTCATTATCTTTTTTAAGCAGCGGCTAGCCGCTTGTATGCAGTACTCAAGTTTAGGATGTACGAACACTGTATACAAAGTTAGAAAGGTTTTAGCGTCGACATGACTAAAAGCTCTACGTATTGACCATAACGTTCTAAAACCTTTGGAGGCTATTGCACGGCAGTGTGTAGTAGTCTTTACGTCTTGACTAACGATAACTCCTAAGTCACTATATGTCTGGACGACAGGTAGCTCAGTGTTATTCATCGTGTATGTATCTGTGCCTTGATGACCGATATGAATCACAACACACTTGGAAGTATTTATCCGCAACTGCCATGTTTGAGACCATTCAGATAACTTCTTTAGGTCATTTTGAAGTTCTAAGCTATCACTCTTACATTGTATCGTTTTCCATATCTTGACATCGTCAGCATATAGCAAGACCGATGATGATAGGAGCCAAGGAAGGTCAATAACATACAAGAACAATAGCACTGGCCCCAAAACTGTACCCTGGGGCACTCCACTAAGCACAGTTCCCCAGTTACATAACTTTGAGTTCACCCTTACTCTTTGTTGACGCCCTACTAAGTCTTTTATCCACATCAATAAATTGCCTCCAATCCCGACTTTTCTTGACTTATATAACAGCCGGTTGTGCGGAACCTTGTCAAAAGCTTTACTGAAATCAATGAAGGCGACGTCAAACCTTAACAAGTTTTTAAATCATGTAAAAGAAGACTGTCCACTGTAATTCATTACTGAGACAATATTAGTACACTACTGTGTAGCTGCAGTGGTCCCTACTTCTGTGACGATAACTGAATTGTCGTCCTCTTCGTCACTGCTCGTTAAGTGATACTTTTTGATAAATTCAGCTTTTAACTTGAGTAACCTCCTGTAATATGTTGATCTGATACAGCCAAGCAACCTCAAGTCTTTGACGGCTTGGGCTAGCCTTTTAATAATCCTATCGAGATGTAAATTATTTCTTTAAAGAGATAATTCACTGCAGTAAGAATGAACATAAACAGTAATCGAAGTTTTGAACACTACAAACACCTCACCTGCATAGGGTTCGAACTTCCAAAAAGTGGTTGGAGGCCGACGTATTAAAACAAGACCTTAAATTCGGTAGACTATTCCCAACTAAAAGTCTGTGTTGTATAACAATTTGCAATTACTTATTTAAATTTATTATGTTAAGCTCTATTAATGCATTTCATATGAAAAGTTATTGTGTAGTAATGCGCTACCTATGATTTGGGGATTTTACCCTAAATTTCCTCAAACTCTTAAGATTTCCCTAAACATCGGGTATTTCTTAAAGATGTATGGATTTCCCCAAAATTTCCTCAAAGTTGGGACCTTGGTTACTGTAGTCGAGTGAAGACTACATACGTTCCATTGGACTGCAATAAATACTGGAAACCCTACTAAAACAAGCGCAAAAATCGTTTGGTTTTGATCAACCCGTCACAAATATATGACATATGTCACATGCATCTGTATAGATGCATATGGGACATTCCATGCAGTCATACGATTATACTATCAGTTGAAATCAAAAGCACTCAGGCTCCCAATTTTGGGGAAAATTTGACCCATTTTGGGGAAGCCGCTATATTAAACTTTGGGTAAATTTTAGTTTTTTTTGTGCCATTCCCCCAAAATTCCCCCAGACCTGGGGATTTACCCAAACTTTCCCCAAAGTTGTGAAATTGAGCATTATTCTTAGTATAATTTATTTGCTAACGGACACTGTGCTAACAAGTTTCAGGACGGAACGATGGAAATTGAACAGAAACCAATTAGAAAAATAGGGCGCATACCACTGAGTATTAACTTGAAATCACGATGAGACTATAACTTATGGACGACCTTTGAGCAACTCTAAGGTGGCCTTGAGAGTGTCCGCATGATAACTAGGACCAAATGAAGGTTTTAAACCAGTGTGAGAAATTAGAATTATGATTTGCAGCTGACGGTAAGGGTTTGGAATTGGATTTAGGGCTTGTGTTTCATATATTGTATATCGTATATAATCTGATCAGATTAAGACAACTTGAAGTCAAAACTATGAGCAGATAACGTGAACCCCAAATAATGTTGACTTTTCGATGCCTTCTAGTAAACATGTGGGTATACTTAGGAAGCCAAAGGAGATTCAAGAAACAAGTTATGTGAATAGATATTTCTTTGCCCAAATTGTCTTTCTAGTGAATACAGCCTTCAGTAATAAGGGTAGTACGTAAGTAGACCTATAATAATACCAACAGTCTATCTTCCTGGTAAGATCCCTGACTTTTCCTCGAAGATGTTACCTGATGACGTAGGCACCGCTTGTCCGAGGAATACGATCCAGTCGACACTGGCGCAGAATTTAGCGTTCTTCCAGAGAATTCTAACGACCGGCTTCACAAACCGGTTTAAAACTTGTAGGGGGCAAACGGAAGACCTATCACCACATATGATAAACGGTACGTCTATCTTAACGTGGGTTTGTAGTGGCATTGGACAATAGCCACACAATCCACAAAGCTGTGAACACGAGACTATTCAGAAAATAGATATTCAATATTTAACGCGGAGAAATACCTAACAATGGAGAAGGCGCGAACAAGGAATGGACTGGGTTTGATCGGATGGCGTGGCTCGTCCATGCAGGCGTGGTCCATCTCAATGTTACTTTATATCTTCTATTCATATTAAATATATTGTTCTTTCTCTAGCCTAACATTGTTCTACATCATGTATTGGTAATTGATACGATACAGTGAGTTGGTGTAGTCGATGGTGTGACTTCCACGTAAGATCTTATAGATTAGGCAGTTATATCATGACAAATCTACAAATTTAGGATTAGGTCTATTATTAGAGCACTACTAATATCATAGTAGACCATAATTCTACATTGGTGAGCCCGACTAGAGAAACGCAACCTATAATTGTTAATCTTATTTCCATTCTAAATTTCTTGATCTATTTTGTATTTATGTTAACCCAATATTCTAACAGTCCTGATTAATGCTCACATGTATTATCGTAATGTTATATTGATTAGTTCTCATGACATACTAGCTCAGTCGATAATAAAAACTGGTCGTCTATATTAACTAATTAGCTTTGATGGTTCGTTAACAAGCTTTAATAGCATTTACATGCTTCAGCGACATAGACTTGTTTAAACATCAAGCTCTAGCAAATATGACCTGTAAATAACGCAAATATACATTGACTAACAATGCAGCAAGAACTAAATAGTTACCTGGATCTAATATTCAGTGTTCCTTATCACCTCATCCTGTTTTAAACTATGCACTATCCTGTAATATTTTTTCTTCCGACCACTGCCTGCCTAATTTCAAATTTTCTAGTTCCATTGCCAAACAACAAGGATGAGACTTCTCTAAAAACATACGGTGAGTTTCAGCCATAAGTTTTCTGCAATCATAAGGTCATTTTAGATGGCTCGTTCAATGGTGACCGCACAATTATGTGGATTCATTCGGTTGTTCTGATCCGAGCGAGTGGCAAAAACGTCAACACCATCAAGCACCCTGGAATTAATTGCCATATTGCATGTTTTATTCTGGATATTTTTGGATCATTACTACTCCTCACGAATGGCGTTATATATGTCGTTCAAGAATAATCTAATTTTCAAAAATAACCCGGGCGAGTTCAACTATTTTACTTAATGATTTCTTTTACTTAACATGTATATGTTTTCCGGTTCCTTTTGCTATATATTTGTAAGTGTCCCTAGGCTAAATGCAGTAACTTCTTATGGAATGTTTATAACGCATCATATTCCTGCCTGAAGTTTCACAAGCAGTCTAAACTTTAAAATTATTATCTGGTCATGTTCAGTATTTTTAAATTGTCATATACGTCAACAACCTGCTTGTTAACCTGGCCCGTACATACGTAACACTATATCTTCATGTCTTCTAAATTTAGAAATCATCTGAATCGCCCTTAACATTTATCAATAAACCCATCATAGTCGTTGTTGCTAATCGTATTTGGGTTTATAGATTGATTTGTCATATTAGCAGCCTAAAATGCGGACATAGTTTAGATAATAAGATTACAAATTTAGGTACTATCAACTGCACTAGTAAAATAACTAAGTCCTCAGGTAGCTGTTGGCTAAACAAACGTTTAAAATCAAAACTCCGTAGCCTAGTAGAATTAACATAACGAATATTTCTGAACTGAAATTTATAATTAAATAAGGCGTCTCGGATTCTTTAGCGTTATAAATTTCTGATAATTTCGAATCACCTAAAGCAACAATACCTATTTTTCCACTGACTAATCATCAATCAACACTATAACTAGTTAAATTCAATAGTTTCAGGATATCGTCATAAAGCATTGTCATGACTTGACAATCACGTAATATGATTGATAAAATTAATGAAACTATTAACAAAATCGGCCAGCAAATTGACTTACAATTATCACTAGTGTTATTTTTCTTTTATCTCCATTCACTACAGATGATTACAGTATGTTTCTCTATCAGTTGCTTATTCAGCAAATATCTCAAAACCTTGTCAGTCTAATTGATGGTTTAGCGACACAATCATGCATGCAAATAATCAGTATAAGCAGTCGAGCAAATCTCCTGCAAACTGAAAACAACAATGTCGAATTTACCACATCACTGACTGAGGTTCAAGCCATTATCATAGACATGAGTTGGGAGTGTACTCCCCTTGGTTACAACTTATGTACTCCCTGATAATCACATGAGCATCACTCACGGTTAATCATCTTGTAAAAACGTATTTGGCCGAGTACATCTTACAGCACCACATCACTTAGTAATGTTACACAGGCTTAACTGATTTCAGTAAGTTATAATCACCATATCTCATTTAAATCGTATTCTGCCCGCATACGTGCAACTAACTTGTATGCCCATCAGCCGGCAAGTATAAATATAAATAAATAGTCTATCGCAGATCAGAACATTGAGTCTAGAGCATGTCTCTTACGAACACACTCATGTTTAACGATTTTTCCTAGCTATCTGTCCAAAATTCATATAATCATCACTCACGTATTTAAATTTTGTTTTGATAAACATTCATGTGTATTAGTACTATTACTAAATTCTATCACGGTCAAGTAAAAATGAGGTTGAGAAAATCTCCCCGTAACTAAGTAAACCGTATCAAACTAACTGGAACACTAGTTGGAATTCTCCACGGTAATATTTTTGTTCCTTCAGTTAGCCTACTAATACATATGCAATTAGAAATCAACTCATATGGACAACATACCGGCATAATTGTAAAGTGATTTCATAATTTAAACCAAAACTAATACCAATATTAATATTTCTACAACATTTATTACTTTAATACTTCTAAACACAAAATACTTACTACCTATACGTTAAGTTATTAACCAACGACTATTAGCACGCATCGTTTTTTTATTATTATTATTGTTATGCCATTCTTGATAGTTCAAATAATCTTCACCCAAATTTTCATTTCAAGCGTTTTAAGCATGAAGGTAGATATTTTAAAATTATTACATGTATTTCCCGACCAGATGCTGCCACTTTCTTTTTGATTTATCTTTCAGCTTACCAATACCCGGAGGATTCTTATTATTCTTGGTAACCTCCGGCGCGCGACGATCCCACCCAATTTGGTATCGAACCAACATCACGTTGATTCTGGTGGGAGAGTAGTGTAGTGGCATTGGACAATAGCCACACAATCCACAAAGCTGTGAACACGAGACTATTCAGAAAATAGATATTCAATATTTAACGCGGAGAAATACCTAACAATGGAGAAGGCGCGAACAAGGAATGGACTGGGTTTGATCGGATGGCGTGGCTCGTCCATGCAGGCGTGGTCCATCTCAATGTTACTTTATATCTTCTATTCATATTAAATATATTGTTCTTTCTCTAGCCTAACATTGTTCTACATCATGTATTGGTAATTGATACGATACAGTGAGTTGGTGTAGTCGATGGTGTGACTTCCACGTAAGATCTTATAGATTAGGCAGTTATATCATGACAAATCTACAAATTTAGGATTAGGTCTATTAT